CCTGGCTACATCCCTGGGCCTATCTATATGGTCTGTTTCACAATTATTATGGAGGACACTCTATTTTAATACCTACATGCTGAAATTAACCACATGACCCGATTTCACTAATATCTTACGATATCATGCCACTCAGTGGGGGCGTCCTTTGCCTTTGTGTTTTTTAAAGAGCATGACACATCTCGGATTCTCGGTCACTCTCTCAAATCACGTGAAGTTGTTTGCGTCTGTGTGGGAAGCAGGTTCACTTTAACGATTCGCTGTTGGAGGAAGTACATTAAATAGATCGAAAAGTAGCTTGCTTATCATTTTTGTACTTACCTTATTCCTTAGGCCTTCAACATATTCCACTTAAAAAAAAAAAAGAACAAGATGCATATTCTTCATAAAGTTGCGTTGGTTGCACTTTTAGTAGTGTCGTGTGTACATTCAAAATCAGTGACGTTCAAGAATTGTCCAGGTAGGCTACCTATAAAACTGGGCTTCACCGTAATCGCCGTAGGCCTAACCCTCACTGGGGGAGGGGGAGCGAGGCCTCATCATTCATTTAGGCCTTGCTTGGCTATGGTTCAAGCAGTGTAGCTAAGCAAAATGAGCATGTCTTTGCTCAAGCTAGGCATAGTTATTGCTGACCAAATACACAAGGCCTAGCTAGGCATTGTTATGTCGGCAGAATAGGCTTTCCTTTCCCACTATATCGGCCACCCAGCACACACACCTCTTTGGTTTGGCTGCAGAACGAATTGGCATAATTATTTTGGTTGCCAGGAGACATAGTTACCAAACTTGAGAGATTTGAAATGTGTGACTTTACACCAGTTGGTTGGGGATGGGGCCACCGGGCCTCCGTGGGTCAGGGATGGAGCCCGGCAGGTTTCAGTCAGGTCATCAACGGTTGATTGTGACAAACGTGCCTCCTAGATTCTAATAATAATATAATAATAATAATAATATATTTTTGTAATAATTAGTTCTCATGCATAGACTTGTGCTAAATGTGTGACAATTTTATGATCACGCATGTGTTTCTGCAAAATGCGTGTTTCATCCCAAAATTACATTAAAATGCAAGACATCCCGCACGATGCGAGACGGTTGGTAACTATGCCAGTAGAAAAGATGGCCACTAAATTAGAAAAAAAAAAATTTAATAATGTCGTTCTTAATGTGTCATTGAATACTTCTTTATTATCTTGTCCTTTTGGAAGCGACATTTTAAGCTGTTCACTTGCTGTATGCATATTAAAACAAATTGTGCACAAAAAAGAACTTTGTAGATTCCACACTATAAATATAAGACTTGCATGGGGAATACATGTTAGTGGTAGAAGTCTCTAGAAAAATATTTGATCGTTGTGTAATTTGTATGGGATCAAGTCGCCCCTTACAAAGTTGCCCCTTACAAAGTCGCCCCCCCCCCAACTAAGTCCAGTGGCATATCTAGGGGAGGGTGCAGGGGCGCACCCCCCAAATCACCTAAAATCACCATATTTTGAGAATTACTGTAGCGCCCCTCCACTGATCGTCGAGCCCCCCCACCTCACCTTCGCGCCCCATCAGCTTCCCCCATTTCAAGACCTCTAGATACGCCACTAAGTCGCCCCTAACCAAGTTGCCTCCACAAAGTTGCCCCCTTTGTATATATATTCTATTGCATAGTTTATTTAAAATTGTTTATAAATTTACATTTTACTTGTCATGTACAGTAGTTTGTAATTTTTATATCTCTCTCCTTTAAAACGTTTATCTGACCAATGTTTAACTTGTAAAATGTGCTCCATTTCAGTTTTATATTGCCTTTGCACTTTGTTTTTCATAAAGATTCCAAAGACAGTGCTGTAACAGAAGTAGATGTCGAGCCATGTTCGTCGGATCCATGCCAGATTAAACGAGGAATATCAGTTGCAATAAAAGTTACATTCAAAGAAGGTAGGTGTTGATTGGACTTTGAGTGAATCCAAACTGTAAACACATTCATTAATTTTGTATTCAACACAGTGGATTTTTTTGAAGAAAAAAGAATCACTGTATTCCATTATGGGTTCCACCAGGGAGTTGTCCACTAATGATTTTGTAGTTTACAAAACTGCATGTGAATCTATTTTTGACAATTTGTAGTACTGTATCTAACTAGTGCAGTATTTGTGATTTAGCTTCAAAACTTTGAGGTCAGAGTTGAATCCCTTGCTGCGCTTTTTGCTTGTGTCCCTGGCAAGACATTACAAGTGGGTACCTGCAACACAAATACCAGCTGCTACATTATGGAATTCTCTTAGTATGTGTTCCATGTGTTTGATCCATTGACTGGTCTAAATTAAATGCTTGTTGGCATAAAGCATTATACAAAACGAAAATATTATAATTGTCACCAAACACTGGTAAACTTGAAACATGGATGGACCAGTAGGTTTTATCTATGAAGAACCGAGAGTAGAATTAGTGAGTACAGTATAAATAATTGCAGGAGAAATAATGACCTGATGATATTACAAACTTGCTCCTTCATTCAAGAAACTAGGATTGTTTTAAAGCACTGTATAATGCATTTACTAATTATTACCTATTTTCTCACAGTAAGCAATGCAACAGATGTTCAATCTAAAGTGTATGGATACATAGCAGGTGTGAAGGTTCCATTTCCTCTGGACAATCCTGATGCATGCACTGACTGTGGCCTAAAATGTCCACTAACTGGTGGTACTAGTTACACCTTCAACTCATCACTTCCAGTGAAAACAATCTACCCTGCAGTAAGTTAAAAGTTTGTCTCTTTGCCTGTATAGTATCTCCTAAGTCATGAGAGATCATTATAGATTCTTCAAATAGGGTAACAGTAGTGGAGGGGAGGAGTAAACAGTTGATGGAATGGGCATGCCAACTGTACCAACTGTGTTGGATGTATTCTTGAGAGCAAATCTACATTTCAGTCAATTACAGTAGCTCTTAATACAAATTTTAGCTGTATTTTTATACAGAGTTACAGAGATATAATTAATACTATTAAATGTTTACAAGATTAATGAAATTATTATTTTTTTATTTATTTGTTCTTTATACTGGGTTTCCTCTTCAGGAACAAATTACTGTTCTCCCAGAGGGCCCAGTTCACATAAAACAGTCCACGACAGGGGCCGGGTGAACCAGTACACCGGGGTAACCCCCTACTCATCTTGAAGGATGTACTGGGTTCTTTAAAGTGCACATGAGCATCTGTGTACATTGGGCCTACGGTTTATAGTTTTTATCCGAGAAGACTTGTTCCACCACCAGAACCATAGGAGCGAGCCGGCCGCGGACCTATGCCGATATTGTTGGCTATGATCACGGTGCCCCTGCCTTAACTACTCGGCCATTTGGCTCGCTCAGTTAATGAAATTATGCATTTTATATTACACTTATCCTATAGGATGAGATTGGAAATATTGTTAATGAATATTTGGTTTAGTTGTTTCTGTTCAAATGTTCCAATACAAAAAAAAAAGTTTATTCTTTTTAATTTAATTTGATTTTTGGAATTTCTTCCAATATATATTTGCTTCTTACTTTAGAATATTTTTTCTTTCTTTTAGATTAAGCTCGTAGCACAGTGGGAACTTGTTGACTCCAAAGAAAATGAACAATTCTGCTTTCAAGTTCCTCTTCAACTTATATAAATTCCATATGTAGTCATGATGTGCCTATACAGTATATCATATTTAGGCATGTCACATGTTTTTGTCAAATAAAATGTGATAGTCTTACAGGGCTTAAACGATAATAATACTGTTGAGACAACAGCCAGCAGACAACAAATTAATGAATCAAGAATTAGATCTAGAAATTGGTAGTTAGCCTCATAGGCACTTCTGAATTCTTGTTGAAAATAGTAGCAGATCAAGTAATCAAAATAAGAGGACCCCAGGAGGGACTTTTATCCATGGAGGAGATGTGTATAAGAGACAGGCATAATTTCATTAACTGAGCGAGCCAAATGGCCGAGTAGTTAAGGCCTGTCTCTTATACACATCTTACCGCTCTGCATAAGCATCGAGCACTATACGTTGCCTGAACTGACAACTTTATATTCATTTTTATTCTTGCTCCCAACGTTGAGCACTATCGTCAAGACCGGCATTGAACATGGAACGTGTAAACTTCGGATACTCTATGAAGAACATCCCTATTCCATCTGCGAGGGAATACAAGAAAACCTTAATTGAAAAAACCGAGAGCGTTTTAAAACGCATGAGATGGAAAGCTTTCCATTTCTTAACAAAACAAGCAACCAACAAGAAGACAAAGAAACGTATGGTTTCAAAACCCAGAACTAC